CTCCAGTTAGTTGTGATGGTCACCTGTTTCCAGACATCTTCGAACAAGGGAGGTCGATACTTTACAACGGACGTCACTGGCATCTTTATATGTGGCGGGTGCGAGGAAAGCCTTGCCAGCAACACGAAAACGATTGAGAGGTGCGATCGTTTACCGGAGTCTCTAAACTAACTGACCAAGGCTCGTCCTGCAATACCTGAGTAAGAAGAGGTTAACTAGCAGGCGGTTAACTGAATTGCTCTCGGAGGTGCTCCGCCCAACGAGCCATATGGCGCTGCTTATGGTGAATCAGAGCATCGGCGTTGTCTCTGATTGTTTCACTGATGCCTTGTGTTTAGGGACCAGTGGTGCAGATCAGGTGGAAAAGCTTGCGATAATTGCCTGCCGCTCCTACTTCCTCCATTTTTTGAGCCATACTAGTCCACCAGGCTTCCTTGTTAGCACGCACGCTCTATCTTTAGTTTGCGTCTAATAGTCCATCTGGTTCCATTGTGCTCAGAACTAGCCTGGAGGTTTCTTCTGGATTCTAACAGGTTCACCGACGTCTCGAATATCCAGTACTGGTGCGGTGACGGTTGATAGTGCCACAAGCAGATGCGTCTGCGTCGTGCATGGCGGTCGGTATCCTATTCCACTGAAGCTCAGTGTCATTAGGACAAGTATGTGAAAGTTCGGTACGCAGTACAGCTTGGTAGGCTTGCCTGACCGAGGATGGGATAATTTCTCAGTCGCCAATCGGGGGAGATGCTTGGTGCGCCTCCTGGTGAACTTTACTGGAAAAGCGACAGCGTACCAAAGCATGGTCACAGTTGACGCAAGCACTCCAGAATGAGCGACAATCCAGGATGGAACCACACCACCTTTAACTTACGGCAAAGTGATCAATTTGGGTCCATCGCTGGCCAACTACAGGAGAACGCCAAGTGGCACTTCGGCGCCCAGTGTGTCTGAAAACAGTGCCACTAAGAAGCAGTCGGTACTCCGCACACGGTTGTAAAAGAGGCTCGAGGTTGTCCGTGCGGTCGGAGTTCAGCCCATAATTACTACCTTGCTGAGCTTCTGAAGAGCCCAAGCGACCTACTTATGCATACATATCCCCTGCAAGTACTGTAATATCTGAACTTGTAACACTGCCTAGTAGCGTGTTCAGTTCGTGGTAGAATGTGTCCTTGGCATCATCAGAACTTCAGTCGGTGGGAGCGTGATCGGAAACCACAAACGTCTTGTACCACCTCGTGAATCAACCTTGGCCGATGTCTTCAGACAGTCTGCACACAAACGGCTGTTCACTGGAATCCAGTTAACCTACGTCGACTCAGTCTTGGAGCTGAGAACGATGTGTTCTCCAGCTTGACCAGTGGTTGCCGCATTGGTGTCTCCGGATGCGTGCAGCCAATAGCGAGAGGACTAGCCGGGCCCAGTTGATTCAACAACTCTGTGAGGGTGATTGATCCTATTTTCTGATGCTCAACACACGTCAATACCCAGTGTGAGCGGTGCTATATCACATCTACTAACTTATTCACGATGGTCGTTGCCGTCCCCGTAACTCAGGGATCTCAACCACGGACTGGCAACAGTCGAGTTGCGGGTTCGAGCCCTACCAGGGTCCGATGGAATGCGCACTACTGACGATTCCCTTTCAATGCTTTTCCGGGCGTGTCTTGGCTGTCTGAGTGAGTCTAGATGTGACGAATTTCTACCTATACCATACAACTCCCCCTACTACTCCTATGTAATACCCAATGTGTCCAACATGCGTGCAAGCGCAGCCTGTTCACCTATTTGTCTTAGAGTGCGAACGTTAAATGCCGCATGGGAAACGGGACAGTTTGACCTTATAAGGGAGTGTTGTCGATAGGCGTCCGGTGTGTGTTGCGGGATAGTGGCTGCAGATGGTTCGACCCAAGTGGCAATTCGGTTGCTGTCATTTAAGCTCGGTTGGTAATAGAATTGGAAGGGGAATAAGAGAAAAAGGTGAAAAAGAAAGAAGGCAGGCGCCAGCAGTATCATGTTTTCGCTTATCCGCCATGCTGTACGCAGCAGATAAGTCGGTCCTTGATAATCTGCGCGACGGCCGATGCTGGATGTAGTTAGAGTTTGTGGAAATTGTCATGGTTGAATGTGTGCTGTACTGGCAGCGCGCCCAGACCTAGACACGAGGATGATTATGGTCCACATCCAAAGCCTTTGGCTCAAAGGCCTGTGCGCAAGGTAGCGTGGAGGTGGCAATGGTTTAGTTTTACAGAAATGGACGCCATCTCATTTCAAACCCCCAACCTGGAGGACCAGCAGACTGAGTTTGTCTGACTTCTCACCATTGACCAACCTGGTAGGAGTAGCTCTCAAGTGGCCCCGGGATCCCACCCATTATTGCTCAATGGGTCGACGAGATACTCAAACCGTCGCACCACGTTAAGCTTTAGCCTCGTTGCGACAGACCGTCGTGCTCAGTAGCGAAACGAGTGACTCTCACTGACAGTCTTTTTGATCCGTTATCAGCCCTGTTATTTGACAATCGTGGCCCTTACTCTTTCGCGTCGTTTTCCTCAAGTTTGTCTGTATATTTGCTTGTATATTTTCCCCTTAATGATGACGATGCTTATCACAGCAGCTGTATTCCACGCACCTAGGTGTTCTTGTTATGGTCGATAAGGGCAGGTAATTGAAATGCGCCGATTGTGCCCGTTGAACACCGAGACGGCCTGTGGTTCTTACGTTTACCGGCGTACCAGTAACCAGCGAGAGGTTTGGTACATCTGCTCACTCGGTTGCACGCGTGCTGCAGTTAAGAAGTGACAACCACTCTGTGAGCGCTTACAGCATTGTTCATAGATTTTGTGCAGGTTCATCGCTGTTCGACTCAGTCAGACAGCCACAACGCATCCAGGAAATCGCTAGACGGCCGTTTCGCCCTGTTTGGATGGTCCTGGCGTGCAGTGAATCGTCGATGCTGTGGGCCTAAGCACTGCTTATGCATTTTCTTGCTTGCACTGCAGTTGTACGTACCTAACACCCTCACCTGTGTGAAAGGTGGGATTTATCTCGAGCTATTGTTTACCTGAGTTGACTGACTCAATCCGCAGATTTACCAGAGGCTCAGTATTTGCCAAAAAATGATTTCTGGTGGGCACTGACGATACCACCCTAATCGTTATCGCTAATTTATGAACTGCGACAGTGTAGTCGTCCCTTTTGACTAGCGTTCCACATCGCTTCACCATCTTTCACCTCATTCATTCCTATTTTTCGTAGCGTGAAGGGAGTCACGTACAGTTTTCATCACATTTCCTGATGGTATTCGCAATGCTTGGTGCATCATGGTGCACCGGGTAACTAGTGTGTCATGTGCTTATTTGGTACGCTTGGCGGTTTATCTTTATGCATTATGCTTCTAATGGTTTCGAAATCGCATCACTCGTTGGTGCTACCTCCTTTGCGCTAGCCACTGCACTCGAACACTAACGATCGCTTCAGTTCACGTACTGTCTCTCTTGAGCGATGATTGCCAATCTATTCTAAACCCTGATGTTTCAGAGAAAACAACATCTGCGGGAAAGTTTACTGCCACACTAGCAGCTTAAAACTGAGCAGCACATGACCATGCAGCAGCACACTGTACTGCTCACAATTTGTTTTGGGGTAAATGAAATACATTAAATCAGTCAGTAGCGAGTAGAGTGAGGTGACGGTGTTTGTGGAGCAAAGCAATCCGAGCGGCATGGCTCAGAGAATCGAAAGCTACGGTTTATATTCTCAATAGCACCTTGAACCTTACGTCGTTTTTAGGCGATGCTGATTTCCCCATTGCCATTGGGGATTCACGAGGGTGTTCAGAAGGAAACCGAACTGTTGAAATGACGCGGCAACTGGCAGCGGGAGCGCGCTGCATCGGGTGGGCGCATGTGGTGGCTTGCTTAGGCAAAAAACTGCCGTTTGCCGCATTTCGCTCTGTTAGTTGGCGAGCTACAGCCGCCGAAGTGAATACATGCACCAGCTGTTTGTCGGACTTGTGCCAAAGAGATAATGGAAGAGCTTAAAGAATAACGCGCGCGTGTGTGGAAATTTTCTACAAACTTGCCAACACTTTTACAGAAACATTTCAGTTGCTTAGCCAAGCATACGGGGAGGACTGTATGAGTCGCACGCAGTGCTATAATTGAGTTAAGTGACTTAAACACAGTAGAATACCCATCGGTGACGATCCCAACATCCCACATCAATGGACGATGACTGTCGAGAGAGTTCATGCTGTGATCCATGGAAATCGTTGTTTAAGTGTTTGAGAAGTTGTTGGCGAAGTTGTCATCAGCGTTGAACCATGCCATCAAATTCTAGCGTGTCTGAGCTATGCTGTGCGCAGGAAGAGGCCTGAACTTTGGGAGAACCACACTTGGATGTCGCATCATGATAATGCGTCGGCTCACGCATCGCTGCCTGTCCGCAGCTATCTAGCAAAATATCACACTACCGTTGTGTCCCATCCACCGTATTCTCCAGACCTAGCCCCTGCACGCTTTTTCCTATTTCTCAAACTTATAACTACGTTAAAAGGATTTCGTTTCTAAACCATAGCGGAGATTCAGGACAATGCGACAAGAGATATGCATACCATCCCAGAAGGTGCGTTCCAGAAGACTTTCCAAAAATGAAAGCACTGTTGGGAACAGTGTATTGCCAGTAGGAGGGACTACTTTGAGTGAGAAGTTCTTGAAATATTGTGCAAAAAGCAATAATGTTAAAGCAAAAGTTCGGTTTCTTTTTGAACACTTCGTATATTCATTTTACGAATCCTTTCATCCTTATTTTACCCACCATCGTTTGGAACCGTTTCCGTCTTCACAATTGCCTGTGACGATGATGTGTTTCTGAAGGCTACTTTACAAGCCAATAAACTTGATGCCGCATTATCAAACGTGTGAATCTAATCACATCTTACGCACGCCTATCCCGTCTTTTCTCTTATTCTAGCTCACTTTCTGTCCTCTTTTCTTTTGCAGGTCAAATCGTTTGCGCAGTTTTTACAGTCGCGCCACACCTCTAACTCGTTTCAGTACAATCCACCAGGTACATCGCCGCTTGGCCCCATACTTCCATTTACAGCGGAGCCAGTCCCATATGGGTCGGCTACCCGTAGTCACGAATCCGCCATATCTACTTCAACAGGGAACACCTTAGAACCTCTATTTAAATCAGGTGAATCCACTTTACACATTCCTCTTCTGTTGCTCTTGCTTGCAATACTTGACTCGGCGGTCGTGTTCGGTTCCTGAATTCTTGCTCCCCAACTTGGTCATCATCGACAACTTTGTTCTCCCAACTTCATTCTTTGCCCTATACTTTTATAGGCCTTGTCTATTCGGTTTGTGGGTTCCTCTCAACTACTGTATTTCGAACAGCTGCTCATGTTTTGCCTTGATCACATGATGCAGCTTCGTTTCCCTCGCTCTCTTTCAATGGTTCATTTTCATTTGGCACAGGGAGCCCTCTACTTGACAGCATATTTGGCCACTGGAACATTTTTCTTCAGCAGGTTCATAAATTTCACAACGAACTGTTCAGTAATTCATCGATGCGTTGGGTCAGCGTTTGAGTTTCTGATTTTTCTGCACTGTTTAAATCTAGGGGTATTATCAATAGTACACCAGAACTTAACACCCGGTACTTCACTTCCACACAACCAACTGCGATTGCATGCGGATCGGGGGATACCTGCAGATCGTCCGCACCTAAACAGCTTCAAACTAGCGACCCATGGATTTCAGGCGGAACGCTTGGACCATAACACCGGCGTGTGCTCCAGCGTGCAAAATTATCACACTAATGCTTCACACCAATGTGGGAATTCGCTCAACCAATCGTGTACACATACAGCCCCAACCGATTGCATGTTGCACATATCCGTTGCATGTTGTTAACTACGCAAGGACAAAGGGGTATCACCATGGAACTGGCTCATGCCATAATTTTGCTGCATGTGAATCCTTTTGGCCTTGTAGGCTGCCACTCTAAACAGATCATTCTCATCATCATCAGTACATGTCGGCGGAGGGTGAGGAACACACTTCATGTAATGTGCCTCAATATAAAAATATAAGCTACTCCAATAACACTACAACAGAATTCAAACATCGAGTAAAATAGTGTTAATTATCATATCATTCGTTCTATATGAAATCGTAATTGTAGGTGAATCTAATGAGTTAGGGGATGGACAAAGAAATTTGGAACACAAATGCCATTGTGGCCGGCTTTTCATCACGTCAGCTAGTGTGTCCAACCAAACGTCTTCATCGTCCTTAGGACCCCCAGCCAGGCAGTCGGGTTGTACCAACCGACGCCAAGTTCGAAACGAGGGTTTTCATTTCTCTCAACAAAAGACTAATGAATCTTTTTGATTGTCTCTTGATGTCCCTCTTCTTTTTGGTACCGTATGCTTCATGCATATGAGTTTCGATAATTTCCTTCTTCTCTTAGGTTTTGGACGGTCCTGCTGCTCATGGACCATATCCTTATTTTGATCCCGAATCTCCTTGCGTTCAGCATTACGGCATAACATGTATGTTATGATGATGTGCGCTCAGCATGGCATGCAGAGCAGATGCGAGATCTGGGGAAAGTTTCGATACCGCAGTCTTACACTTCTATTTATCCTGTTTTTGTGTCAGGTCATGCCATATCCAACGCAATTTGTTCCATTCCCCCTCGTCGATCACAACTTTGGCATGCTTTCCATTCCACCTCGTACTGGTCCAAGTATCCTGCTCGATATCGAGACTCCAACGGTAGCAGCGGCGTCCCAGGTGGCGGCAGCAGCACGTATAATGGGAGTTGCGGCGCATCCACTGCAATTCCCTATCCTGATCCGTTGCTGCACTACAATCCCTCTCTACTAGATGACCCGGAGTTATTCGTGGTTATCAGAAGACGCGTGTTTCCTTTATCCAGTTATCTTGTGAGTGAAGAATAGGCTCTTCGCCTCGTTGTCTTCCTCTGTTCATGACACATCTTTCTATTGTAACTCGATTTTTTGCCCTCCATCTTCCATCAGACAAGTGTGCTTACGTATGTGCGGCCTTCGGAAGAGAAAAAGTCTGTTAATCGTCAGTTCGCTGAACGATTCCCCCTGATCCAACTCAGTTTGACCAAACTTCGCAGCCTCAAAGCATTTATGGTCCAAGTGATATTTAACGTAAGTACCTCACACACTGGTTTTCACGATCGATATTTGATTACGTGTCTCGATATTACATGTCGTTTGTACTTTTTCACCTAAGCCTATGCTGATTATCCATTTCGATCAGAGGGGATACCACCACCGGAAAAACATCTATGCTAATGCGTTCGACTTGTATTCTATAGCAAGCCAACAAGTCTCTTCGACTTCGTTCACGAATTCCGCCAGCTAATCTGGCTAGATATCACGTTGGACAGTTACTCCAGTTTGTCTTGCTCGCTTGCTGCAGTCACTCATGAGCCATTTGTGTCCATTCTAACCGTTTTCTGCTGACCACCAACGCCTCACAATGCGAATCTGCCGGTTGTTTAACCGATATCCCCTTTCCTACACCAGAGTTGACGCCGGGGAAGAATTCCGTTTTTGATTGTTGCAGACATCGGCATTTGTCCGCCTACTTACTTAGTCTTCCATAAAAACCAAGTACACTAGCTGCTGTGATATCATATCTGGCTAGACCCGTAACGGGGATGTTTGAGCTTACATCATTGCCACATCGTTTTTTTGTGTGTGCTCTAATCTCTTTCTGTCCTTTTGTTGCATGCGTTTCGACCGCGTGATTGCTCCCCCCCCCACACACACACACTTGTATTTTGTTAGGGATAGGCTATATTTCAGTTTTCATCAAAGTGTTTTTAAATGCATACAATAACCTGTATAACGTGTAGAATAAGGCAAGACTGTTTCAGAAGTACACAGGGCGCTACTCATTGTGCGTTTCCAGTTACAGCGCGGCCTCATTTGGATCTCACTTTTATCCCATGGCTACCTCGATCATATCCCTTTACCGAATTAGCGCCTTTTTGCTATCACACTTGATGGTGTTTAGTAGACTGGACGAATGTCACCACCACCTTGTAGAGGCCAATAACTTAAGTGGCAGTCACGAGTCATTCACACAAGATGCTAATCAAACGGATATTGGTCCCGTTGGGCATGAACGAAGCTCAACCTGGCCTATGTACTTACTACCGCAAGTACAATTAAAGAGGTAAATGCATGAGGCGGTAACTTGAGAGTCTGGTCTGTCCAGGTTGGATTTACAGAGCAACCTTCTGACTTGATGCAATACCACTAGCTCAGCCGCATGGTAACACTTCTTAATTGATTGACGGAGGCGATGCCTGCATCTTCGGTCAACTTGATCTCCTTTGAAGGGCAGTGTAATGAATACTTTTTTCTTTGGGACGTCGGTTGGTGGTTTACCTCCGGATCGTATTTTCGAGTGCCGAGTTATAAATCGCGATGGATAACCATTCTCTTGTAACGTCAAGGTGATTCGTTCTAGTTCATGTTCGATTGTGTCTATTGAGCAAATTTGGCGAGCTCTAGCAAAAGTGGTACGTACTAGGACTCGTTTATAGTTCATTGGGCAAAAGCTATTAAAGTTCAAGTATTGCCCTGTCCATGTTGCTTTTCTGTACACAGATCGGACGAGTGTACCATCTGGCTTTCTCTGTAAGTTAACATCTAAGAAGTGGAAAGATCCGTCGGACTCGTTTTCCATTGTGAACTTGATGGCACATATTCATCAGTTTCAGTAAGTGCGCCGCCTGTTCAGGTGTGTCAACGACGATGAATGTGTCGTCTACATACCGACAATAAAGGTGTACATTTTGTAGGTAAGAAGCTAACACAGTGTTTTCCAAGTGGCCGAGGAAGATATCAGCCAAAACTGGGCCCAATGGGCTGCCCATGGCCACGCCGTCGATTTGTCGATACAGGGTTCCATTGAACCGGAACTGAATATCTTTTGTGCATAGGCGCAGTAATGATTTGAGTTGGAGCGCTGGGAACCCAACTTTATCAGCATGCCTGGCTATTATATCTAGTGTTTCTTCCAAAGGTACGTTCGTGAACAATGATGATACATCGAAAGAAACCATGTGTTTTTCCTTTACATTCAAATTACTTATCTTGTTGACAAATTCAAAAGTGTCTCTTAGACTATAACTCGTCAGTTCCCTCCGGATGGGCTCAATAAGTTTTGCTAGCCATCGCGCTAATTTTTGGTATGGTGTGTCTACCATTGAGACGATGGGACGCATTGGGACACCTTCTTTATGAGTTTTCGGTAAGCCATACATGTGGGGAAGTCGTGATCCCCGGGGGCGTAACTGAGTCATAGTTTTGGCATCCATCAATCCGGCCTTCACAAGCTTCTTCAATTCACGGACTATTAACTTCTCTGTCTGTTCAGTTTTGTCTCGGTTTGTTACATCCTGAACAAAACGACTAGGATCCGCAAGGATTGATTGGACTTTCTTAATGTACTTTTGTTTTTCCAAAATCACAACTCCTGATCCTTTGTCTGGTCGCAGTATTACGAGATTTTCATTTCGCCGCAGTTGCATCAAGGATTCCCAATGATCCTTTGTAAGGATTCTGCACTTTTCAGTTTCACTGACATAGAATTGGTTGGCCAAATCTACCATTTTAGCTCTAAGCCAGCCGCTTGTATCCTCGCTGACCGGTGTTAAACTGGACAGTTGTTCGTACAGATGCTCAAACTGAGCTTCAATCCCTATTCTGTCACATCTGTTTGGTGGAACTGAAAAATTGAAACCAAGGGATAAAGCTTCAAGTTGGTGACGACTCAACGGAGTGGTTGATAGATTTAACACATACTTCTCAGATTCTAACGGCAACTGATCGTTGAAACATTCCCGTGACATGGAGCTCATTAGGTGCTTTCTAGTATTTGTACGCGTTTTTAGCAACAAAGTGCGAAGGAAGTTGAAGAATTTTGCACGGCATACAATGTTTAAGCAATTGGGTACTTGGTCCACACATCTCAATCTGGCGTTTAATTCATCAATGCGTTGAGCACTCTCTTCGATGGGGGATTTAGTTATTCTTCGTAAGTTTCGGGCATTGACGGGTAAATTGTCCTTGCGCAATGACTTCACAAATTGACGCGGGTAAGTTGACTTTTGCAGGCATTCACGGTAAACGATCGCACGCATTGTCTCACGAGCAATGCAACAGCGTATTTCCACTAATTTGTCCAACGAGCGAATTGTATCAAGAGGGAGGGATCACGACTTCCCCACATGTATGGCTTACCGAAAACTCATAAAGAAGGTGTCCCAATGCGTCCCATCGTCTCAATGGTAGACACACCATACCAAAAATTAGCGCGATGGCTAGCAAAACTTATTGAGCCCATCCGGAGGGAACTGACGAGTTATAGTCTAAGAGACACTTTTGAATTTGTCAACAAGATAAGTAATTTGAATGTAAAGGAAAAACACATGGTTTCTTTCGATGTATCATCATTGTTCACGAACGTACCTTTGGAAGAAACACTAGATATAATAGCCAGGCATGCTGATAAAGTTGGGTTCCCAGCGCTCCAACTCAAATCATTACTGCGCCTATGCACAAAAGATATTCAGTTCCGGTTCAATGGAACCCTGTATCGACAAATCGACGGCGTGGCCATGGGCAGCCCATTGGGCCCAGTTTTGGCTGATATCTTCCTCGGCCACTTGGAAAACACTGTGTTAGCTTCTTACCTACAAAATGTACACCTTTATTGTCGGTATGTAGACGACACATTCATCGTCGTTGACACACCTGAACAGGCGGCGCACTTACTGAAACTGATGAATATGTGCCATCAAGTTCACAATGGAAAACGAGTCCGACGGATCTTTCCACTTCTTAGATGTTAACTTACAGAGAAAGCCAGATGGTACACTCGTCCGATCTGTGTACAGAAAAGCAACATGGACAGGGCAATACTTGAACTTTAATAGCTTTTGCCCAATGAACTACAAACGAGCCCTAGTACGTACCACTTTTGCTAGAGCTCGCCAAATTTGCTCAATAGACACAATCGAACATGAACTAGAACGAATCACCTTGACGTTACAAGAGAATGGTTATCCATCGCGATTTATAACTCGGCACTCGAAAATACGATCCGGAGGTAAACCACCAACCGACGTCCCAAAGAAAAAAGTATTCATTACACTGCCCTTCAAAGGAGATCAAGTTGACCGAAGATGCAGGCATCGCCTCCGTCAATCAATTAAGAAGTGTTACCATGCGGCTGAGCTAGTGGTATTGCATCAAGTCAGAAGGTTGCTCTGTAAATCCAACCTGGACAGACCAGACTCTCAAGTTACCGCCCCATGCATTTACCTCTTTAATTGTACTTGCGGTAGTAAGTACATAGGCCGAACTGAGAGAAGGCTGTCAGCGAGGATTGCAGAGCATGTTCCGCGAAACATGATCGCTAAGGGTCCTAAGCTACCGACTAGCTCTATTGCCCGCCACATACTTGACTGCGCTGAATGCCAGAACCCACGTGGCAATTTCAGGGTAGTTAGCAAACAGGTTAAATCCCGTTTACTACAGTTTGCGGAGGCGGCGGCAATTCGGCGGCTGAAGCCAGATTTATGCAAGCAAACGGATTTCGTGACCACGCTAGCCCTACCCTGGTGAGGCTAGTGATTGCGTTTTCCATGGAACAGGTCACGTGAGCCTAAAGACCTTCGACCGCTTTTTAATTTTTGCTGTTAACATCGCACTGTTTTTCACTCATTATATGTAAACAGCTGAAGAGAATACGCGAAATTACTGAATTCAGTAAATTCTGTTATAATGTGGTTTCTTCTTGCTTTATTGAAATTCGTGAAGGGAAATGCCCGCATGAAATTAATGGAACGGTTAGTGATCGGAGCTTATACATAAGGCTAACTATATTTACCACAATGAATAACTGTCCACACCTTGGATTATTGCATGATACACAACTCTTGTGTCCATGAATGGCAAACGTTTATTTAGACTCTTGGGAGGGCACTGGACGACGCTCTCTCACCACTACAAAGCACCACTAGTTTCATCTTTAGCTTGGTGTATTTCGGCAGAGATTACACGAGTTAAGATTGCAGTTTGAACCTTCACCTTCTGATCAACGGCCTGACCATCGAGCCACCCATTTACACGAGCCGGACTTCATCCAAACGAATCTCTGTGTATGTGTGTCACATACCAATTGGCAGCTGGTTCCCTCTCTGCTTCAATACCATGACCTCTATGTTTCGCGCACCATCTTCGTTCTGGCAATCGGAGCTTCTGTGTGCCGAACTTTTTTAATCATCAATTTGGCCAGAATGACGCAGCTTTTCTTCTGCACCATTGGACCACTCTGCTTTTCGATGACACTAAACGATCAATAACTTCTACACTGGGTTCTTGATTTGTATAATTTGTTGTCTTCACTAGTCCTTTACTGCAGTCTTACCTAAGGGCTGGAAGCACCTTTAGTCCACCTTTTAGTACTCTACTTTGACTTCACTGTTAAAACGACACCTTAGGTTTTCGATGCTGTTAAAGGTCACTGATAACCACACGCTTCGGTACAAGGATCATGGTTGAGCATCCGGTTGTTGCAAGCTTTTCACCTAGCCAACATCACTAATGTTACGGAACCGATTCAATTTCTGTTCCTTGTCGATTGAAGCAAGCAGTTCGATTGCTTAGGTGACTGTTTTCCTACTGGGTTCCGCGCACACTTTCATTTGGTTGGATCTAGTGGTAAGATTCCTGAGACAACACTTTCCATGGAGTCATAGGGATACTGTTCTCCATGGATGAGAAATGCTCCGAGTATTGGCGTTATCTACCGTAGCTTTCTGCTTACAACTATGATGTTGCCGCTCTTCGGCTACTTTCGTGATTTCTGCAACACTCAATGTTTTCTTGCGTTGTCTTTTGCCACCAATTGCAAAGCGCTGCAGCGAACTAGATTGCGCGTTTAAGTGAGGAATGACAGGCCTCATTTCTTTGATAGACCAGTAGTATTTTCCATCCTCATCACACCTACACTTATGGTAGGTCGACTGTCGGAGTTCAGGCCTCCGATCCTGCCGACTTATCTGTCTAGATTTATCCCAAGTGTGAATATTAGTGCTGCTATTTGCAGCCACCATCTTAATGAACGTTTGAAGCCCTTTTTGCTTTCAGCCCATGTACCAACATGGTATAATCGTTCACTTCCGAACTTGCGTGAGTTTTCCACACTTGATCATATGCAGATGTTTGACGATCCACAGCTCCGATTTCGCTCACTGCAACGTCATCTTAGCCTTGCACCAAGCACCCTTGTGTTAACTATCACGTTTGGTTGCTAGTTAGCAGGATGCTTTTCGAAGGAATTTGTTACTGGTTCGTTCCAGCAACTCACAGGTCAATTAATTTGTCCATTATTCCGGAAAAACAGCAGAGAGCTCTTTCTGTCTATTGTGGCTCGTCGTGAGTCGCACTCCCTCATCCCTATTCATTGAATCGAACCCATGATTGCTGGCGGTTTTTTACCAAATAACCAGCAGCTGAGGCCACTGCGACATAGAGGTTGGTGACAGACCGTCACAATTTGCAAGCTTACTGGGATATAGCGCGACCTATCCTTCACTACCGTGCAGGTTACTGGCATTGAGGTGGATAGTCGCTGGCCTAAAAGGGATCACAAATTCCACGGCACAATAGCTGTGTACGCATAGCATTTGTTGCGTGTAAGGGGCAATATGTGATCACTAATAAGGAGGATTATTTTCGATGATATTCCTTACTGTGATTCGTCACAGCAGCTCACACGGACGGAACGTACGTCTTATGCTTTTCCAAAGTGATGTTTAGATTATTTGGCTTGTGAGCTGCTGGAACAAATCAGTAAAAATATTCCATTTGTGTCCGTTGAATGGACTCAGGCAATCCTGCGAGATATTTTGCATATGCAATCCCGTTGACCAGCGTATCTCTGTTGCGGGTTTCACTAGCTTACACTGGTCATGACTTATTTTTCTGCTAGATGGCGATTTCTCAGTACCCTCGAAACTCACCCATGTGTTTCTGGTCAGTTAAAGGTCAAGCATTGAGATTCACAGTCCTCGATCTTGGAGTGCAGTTGTCTTTTTCAGCGCACTTAAATCATAATTGTGAAGTATAATCTTGACTACGCTAGATAAGCTCTTTCCGCCCTGTTCTGTTAGGATGTTGATAATGTTATTGCGGTTTTTTGTAATCCATATTTTAACAGCCGCGTTTTTGAATAATTTTTAACCTCTGATGAGTAGTAGTGAGGATTTTGGTATAATTCAGCTATATCGTCATCATCACACCCAATCAGCAGGCTTAGGCTACTCTGCAAAAGCACCAGACACCGGCGTTTCAACCTTCCGGGGCTCGTCAATGGTGCGCCTTTAAGCTACATTATACCCTTTCCTCAATACTACTCATCAGTAATATAAAATTTGTCTGTATAGCTTCTAAGACCTACGTCGTACATAGGCGTTATGCGGAAAGTTCTAGCTCGAGGCTAACTACTGTCCTCTGCACAGTTGGTAACTGGCATGGCAGTGGAAGATGGTCCGGGTTATATCATAATCACTGTCCAGCATGCAAATCCGCGGCTGTCACCCATGGCTAAGTGGCACTAGCTGCTGGCGGAACCCGGCAGGGGTACGCTTGAAGGCGCATCGCTGAGGAGACCCAGAAGGTCAAAACGTCGGCGCCTGGTGCTTTACTGGACTATCCTAAACTTGCTGATAAGGAGTGACGATGATGAATTAGCTGAATTTTTAGTTAGTTGCTTTAATCTTGCTTGCCATTTTGAAACCTATCTTGCGCCTTATCTAGCAATAGTGATAGTATAGCCCAGAAACGAGATTCACACGAACCACCCAGCTAACACTATGTGGAGGTCGTACGGCGGGCCTGCATCGTATCACTTACTTTCTTGCTTGCCATTAGATTGGGCCGTCTCCAAAACAGCTAAGTCATCTTCCGCAATCATACGATCATCTACTCTCATTTCATGTTTGTGTAGGAGTTTGATTGTTGCTTTACATGAGGCTATTTTGTGCACCCTGAAGGGTGAGTATTCAGCTGTTACACAGGACATTGTTCCGCCAGCCTGTATTTCAAATGGATATATATATATATATATATATATATATGGTTCGCGGCATCCGGTTTCGGATTTGCCAGTCACTGTGGCCAGCACAGGACGCCTGCGCCTACAGAGGGACCATGGGTGGCTTACGCTGCACCACCCACAGCTCCAACCACACACCTCATATCCAGTGTAAACCCGAAGGAATAAGACCGGGAAGCATGTGGATGGGAGCCACGTTTCATCAACGGAGCCGGCCCACACTCCTTCACAGGCGAACACAAGCACGCTGTAGTTGGGAAATCAAGCGCACACAAGGCAGTGGCTGGACCGTAGTCCGCTCCACACTGAGTGTATGGAATCACTCTTCGTGCCTAGCATGGCCACAAGGACCGTGCACGCCGTCCCGTGCAGCAACGACCAACTGTCTCCTGGAACCAGTATGGACGAGGTAGTGGTTAATAGGCAGATAAGCACCTTGTCAACATGCACATCAAGCGCAGTCACACCGGGGATATCAAGCAACAGCCAATCACCTGGAACGACAAGATGAAATAAAACAACTCCATTAATGCATACAGATACGGTGGCATAACTCTTCGCTAAGTTAGCATATGAAGTACGTTGGTTAGCAACGAATCCGCGATAAGGAAATAATGTCCACAAGTTAGTTAAAAATGCTACAATCGCCACAAAGTTACCGAAGATAAGCGCAATTAATGTATGCAACGTGGCCAGTTAATAGAAGAGTATTCAGGTAGGCAGAACAAACGAAATAAAGTGGAATGAAATTTAGCCAGCTTAAAAAGACCTAGTTTAAGTGTAAGTTGGTTTAGCCCAACTGCGGTGAAGAAGCATCAAGAATGCAACATCAGCCTCAGCATGAGGCAATATATATATATATATATATATATATATATATATATATATATGTAGATGCACTTATTGTGGGTTGCATCCACATGCAACATATTTCACGTTGGCAGCTGTTCATTCATTAGAAATAGCCACTTTCACCAATTTTTACGCACTGCAACCGAGCACTTATTCGCTTTCATCCACTTACTTATGTTTTCATATTGAAGTACGTACTGAACCATTTTAAAAGTGGAAATTCCATAAAATAACATAAGTTATGGTTTGTTGCTATAAAAGTGATATTAGGTGCTAATATACGCGGAGATTGTACTATTGCCTAGGAATTTTTTTTTGAATTTTCTCGCCGCAGAGTGGTGGAACGTTACCTTCACACAGTCGACCACAAACAGTGGCCATTAAATGATCAATTGTCTTGCCCTTTCTTGTATAATGGTTTGTTGTATAGAGAAACGAAATTTCTGCCCAAGTGTATGTTATTCCGCAAATGGATTAGTAGAGCGCGACCAAGTTTGTGGTGTCAGTCGGCTTACTTATGTGGCATTTATATTTCTTATCCTGTTTCTGAATCATGTGCGAACACTCGACGGCTGCTGGTTACGCATCGTAAGTCTACATTTTCCGCGCATAACCTACTTCATTTGTGGCCACTCTCTTTGCTGCCTGCTTGTTCGCTCATCGCATCGCGTAATTGTTCCGCCCTCTTCTCTACAGCTCTCGTATGACATTTGGATCGCCGCCCACGCACACGTTCTGTTCGAGAAATTGGTATTGAAGGTGAGCAGCGCCAATTTACCTTTGCTGTTGCATCCCCCACCTCATCACCATGCATTTCCAATTTTAATGGTTGCTTGGTTACTTCATAATCATTTTGTCCCATCGCGAGTTTAGCGTGTGATGGAATCTGAGATTTTCTATTCACCTTCACATTGTTCCCACTCTGATGCTCGTCGCTTCTTCACACGTCCTCGACTTGACAATCTGTTTTTCTCTTTTTGTCCGAGTGTCTCTCCTTTGACCAGTCTGCTGTGTTTCCGCGTGCATCTTGTGGCGTTTGATTTCTTTCATTGTCTCTTCGACTGCGCGCAACACGGTTGTGAACGATGGCGCATATAGCAAGTTACCAGACATTGACTCCTAACTTTACCATCATTCACGGCTGGTGTTCACAAGACAACACGGTTAAAACCACTAGGCGATTGGTCATGCGTTCAACCTTTTGCACTGCACACCCTCCTTTGTCCGTGCGACTCCAGCAAACGGTGTTGCAGCACAGTGGACTTCACTTGCGTCTAGTTCGTTTTAAGGGGTTCCACTTCCGTCCCTTTTTAGTCGAACTTTCATCGTTGCTACTGGGTAAGCGCCTTATGGATTAGGGGATCGTTATTGTTATTAATCAAAACATCCCATAGCATTATCGTCGATCGCCGCGCTTCATCTTGCGCCGCAACCGTACTTTACGACAAAATATTCGGTCTCACCGATTTCTTCGTCCTGCATGGATCTTTCCTTCTCACTTTAGGTTTCATCTTGCCCTGTGTTGCGCGTTATCTGTGACTATTGTTCTCTTTTGACCCAATCATTGTATCCAGGTGCCGCCGAGTGTTCACTGTCCAAATAATTTTGCTTGCACTCAGCCGATAGCAGTTCACCCGGTTTTCGATTGCTTGCCTATTCCCTCCTCGTCATGTTACCTGAGAGCCAACACACATCCAATGCTCACAATGGCTAACGTTTCATCCAGTTGTTAGGTCCATCCCCCTCGTCCGTCAATAATCTCATTGTTACCTCCTTGGCCTTTTATTTTGCCACGTGGCTGTTTAACAAACCAATCTTCGTTCCAATCTCCCAACCCCTACCGACCCACTTCAAATAATATCAAAAGCACGCAGAAAGGATGTGACCCTTCCATAGCTGAATCATGTCCATTCCATAATCCAACACTGCCACACGCATGGGCGATTCCCCTGCTGTTATTCTCCCTCACCTCGTTTCCGCAGCTTCGTGAATAGACATTTGATATAAAATTACCGCACACCATTTAACTTCCGTCTGTCAAGCATTGTGTCGCAGTATCGTCACGTTACCTGCTGTTAGGTCACAAAAGACTGTGTTATTGTTCGCCGGTTTTTTGGCAAGTGCGTTTTTGCGTGTTTTGGGCTCATTCTCCCGTGCGTTGTGGTACCATTTGATGGCTCGGGCGTAGGAAATCGACCGGGGGTCAATGAAACACCGCCCAAGCGAGCTGGCTACCACACTTGAAGCGCTAAACACTGGTAAACAGACGGCGATCGGAGTTTGTCCACGAGACTTCAGCATGGTTTGCAATACTGCAGCTATGAAAACAAGGTCTACATCGTCACGCGGCTTCAGGCAAAGGTTCTTTGTGAATCGAGCTGAACAAACATGTTGTAACCATAGTAAGAATTTCCATCCCAAGTGCGTATGTTTAACTAAAGCGGAAGTGACTAAAAGCGACACTTCGCTCCAGACTTTAGTTCTTTACGAGGTATATGGTCGACTCGCTCGAACGGTGCATTGTTGTACTGGCACAGAGATGTGGAGAACGGACAGCGGTTCTGAGTATTCGAAGGCTGGTATTGCAGCCGCATCAGAACCATCTGAGTCAGAACTGGACTCATGTTGCCTAAACTTAAACTCAGCCTTGAAACAGAGTAGCCAAGCCAAGCGTATAGCTAACAGTACAGAGCCAGCTACCCTAACCATGAGAGCTAGCAAACTGGTGTACACCTAGGATCTGCCAACCCCAGCGACTGCATTCTTGCGGACGGTGGATTTTCTCGGGGAGCGTGTTTGTGTCGCTTGACACTCCATTGCATTCGGGTTTATCTAACACTACCAAAAGCTTGACAACATGCGCATCCATCATCGCTGCATGCAGACTCAAAAACAAAGTTAGCGGTCACACCTACGGCTAACCCAAAGAGCAATAGAAATGACGCATTATACCATTACGCCTCCGTGGCGGCTGCCTACTACACAGCCAGAGCAGGCAAGTACTCTCTTATCCAAAGTTGTAGACATTAGGAGAACGCAGAACTTTTGGACAAAATATGCTCTAACGTGTCAAACTATTGAACGACCTGAAACATATGCCAAGCAATTGGAATCCAGGCTTGACAGATCAATTTGGTTCGCATCATTAGCCGCCCAAACTCAATTCACTACGATGAACCAAGGCTAGTTCAGGCAACACTTCAGTCGGATGACTAAGCGAAGACCGCCCCCTTGTCAACCAGCTTCTTCCTGATTTGTCATGCGATGTTCACCTATTTCTTGACATCCCTTAGAGTGGGCGTTGTCGGGGGAAGCAATGCCCAAGAGAATACCAAAAATTAAAACGAACGATCAATCTTTGTTTGTGGCGTTCTGACGAGTCGCAAACCCAGGCTCATGAATTGAAAAAGCGACGCTACATCCGTGAACCCCTCCATCTCCATGACGTAACTGCCAACTCAATGTCAAAGCTACCCATATCACCCAACTATAAAGGATATGGTCCAAGAGTGCTGAATGATTTGCTCCACTCCAAACAAATGCTTGAAATGATGCTCCGAATTCGGCACAAGTTGCACACTAAACTGCCATCAGAAATACGTCCGAAGGCGATTGAAGTCGGGCCACCATTGGCTAAGGAAGCACAAAGCCAGCAACATTTTTCACGAGGCCATCTCTGCGTTTCTGAACCGGAACACAGTGCAACCCCAGCCGTCCGATGGAGAAACAGGCGATCCACCACAATTCCCTCCTGAAGGATTATGGACCGGGCGCTCAGCGCACTGACCCGAACCGCCCCGGGCGGTCGCCTAGAAATATCCAAAAAACGATTATCAGCCGACCCCACAAGTGTGGGCGTAAGTTCGCAGGAAACGTTTACGTGTTCACATACGCTTCTGTTGTTTATATACAAACGCACAATGCCTTCACAGCAAATTGGTCTAGCTTCCATCTCGTCAGGCCTAATGTCCTGAAACCTCATCATGACAACCGAGACACAGCTGAGCTACGTGTTTACCGACGCCGAGATCGCACAACCTGGGAGGTCCCATTTGCGCATCGGCCAACTCACTGAAGAAGGCAGTGTAATTTCTTTCTGATGTTCAGACCCACACTACGACTGCATTAATGACCCAGGGTCTCAAGCCGTAGACCCATTACGGTGCCGTCTACACCTAAGACAGAACAATATACGCTTCATGGTCATTGTATACCACCCACCAATACCCACTGTAGAAATGGACCATATTCTATCCTCCGCTATGATGAACTTACAGACATAATCTCACAGCCACGTTCACTTGGGTGGGGGACTTCAACCAGCTAATCGCTAGTTCACCACTTTACACCACCATGTCATTTCTGCAATGCGTTGCAATCCGGGAAACAAACCGGCTATCTAGCGTCTCGCTTTTACCAACGAGGTATACTCATGATCGACGTAGTAACCTCGTGCACTCCTTTGGGCCGCAGCGATCATTCGCTAGTGTACCACATTACATGTGGTAGGCTGGGAAGCTCAATTAGTAGCCAATTCTGATGATCAACCCCTCTATTGGTGCAACAAGCTGGTCTTTCCTAACCGAATGGTTCCCTGTAGTGACCTCCGGGCAATTTGTCATCAGTTTCATTAGTCTATTGGCAAGCACATTAGAAACCAAAATTCACCATTTGAAAAAAATGAAGTTGTTCCTAAGGAGTAGGACTAGGAAATACATGACATTGAGGAACTTGGCGTGGCTCGCCCAATAGCCTCTTCAAATGAGGACACCTGGAATGTCTATATAACACGAAAAGAACCACTGTGTCAAACTAGTCCGAGTGGATAAAGTAAGATATCAACAAGACCTGGAATCCCAAGCTAGTTTGCAGACACGTGAACAAACTTCATAAAGTGCGGGATTCCTTCTGTGCACACAACATGCTGATTATCACAAACGGCACAAGACGCAGTCGTACCTTCCAAAGTGTGCAATTTTCTTGCATCTTGGCTACTCAGGTCATGTCGCAATCAGGATCTGAAGACATATCATTTGCAACCGCAGCTGTACTGAAGCGGATGATGTCCATGCGCGAGTGTAGCTTTCCTGAGGCAGACGGCATTTACCCGAATGCGTTGAAAGTTGCTGTCAGAAGTTCAGTTGAACTTTTTGGAGTACTCTTTGAACAATGTCTTAACGCGATGCATCTCCCTAAGACGTGGATGCACGAGATCACTCCACTCTACAAAAGTACGTCATGCAAACCATGGAGTCCATTATAGCTGAGACGCTCATAGGTTGTCTGGAGTGTAACAAAATTCTCGTTCCGGAGCAGCACGGATTTCGCCAGAATCGATCCTATACTACGAGGGTCATTCAATACATAAGGTGAATTTTCGGTATAAGGACTTCTAATACAGATGGAAGCTTACTTTTTTATTTTTCATCATAGTCCCCCAGCCCTGTCACACACGTTTCCCATCTGTGCACAAGCTTCCGTATTCTCTCAGCGTAAAAATCTTTGGGCTGATGTTTCAGTCAGTCGCTCACAACACTTTTGACTTCATCGACATTTTCAGACTTCGTGCCTCTCGTGAACGCTTTCAAGGGACCAAACAGGTGAAAGTCTGAAGGGGCAAGCTCTAGGCTGTAAGAGGGATGAGGGAGCAGTTCCCAACCCAGCTCGTTGATGGTCTGCATCGTTCGGGCTGCTGTGTGAGGCCTTGTGTTGTCATGATGCAAGATGACTTCTTCTGACTGATGACCCATGCGTTTGTT